CCCCCCCCCGTCATCTTGGAGAATATGATTAAGTCAGCAGAACAAAGAACTGGAAACGATAGCATTTGATTTTGACTTTCTGGAGTATGTCTTGAGAGCTTCTGAGACAGAAGCTGACATTCAAAGGACCACATGATTCATTCTACATGCTCAAAAGGCCTTGAAATTTATATCCAGCTGACAGCCCCCCCAGAAAGCACAGCAACCAGCTTTTGAAGTTCAGGGCAACTTGAGAACCAAACCAAGAAGCAGACAGATGGCACCCAGTTCAACCACAGAAGAAATAATTGCAGCTGTGAGATGAAGCCTTTTTCCATTCCCAGCTTAGCAGTGGATCTCCTCCTTCCTGAATTCTAGGAAGTACCATGTCATTTCAGTTTTCTATTAATTTCATACACATGGCCCAGAGAGAGATGTTTTTTGCATGCCTCATGCTGCACATTGGACATGTTGTGCTATTTCTTCTTTAAATGTCTAATACATTTGCAGTTAGTTAACACTTTCACTCCCTGCCTTTCCCATCTCTTCTTCCTCCTCCTCCTCCTGTATTTTCTGGCTTTCCCTTCCTCTCCCTTTCTTCTGCCTTTAAAATACTTGTTTAAGGAGGAGTGGAGCTTGGGTTGCAACTGAATCAGCCTGTTTCCCTAAAGAATGTGGCAGCTGTGTGGGACCACCATGTGGAATTCATACATTGGACTCAGTCCAATGGGACTATACAGAGCAAGTCAGCTGTGTAGCAAAATCTTCTTTTACTGAGAGTGATGAATTGGTATGAGGGAACTCCATAGGGATTTAGCAAGGCTGTGCGGGAATACATGGAAATGTCTGTGGTAGCACCACAGACACTGAGGGAGCACATTGCAACTCTCAGGTTATGTGACGTGCAGGGTTTCAGTTTTTAGGGTGCCAGCTCTGTGAAATGACTTTTATGCTCATTTCCTGTCCACTCCCAGCTGAGTAACTTTTATGCTGAGTCAGTAATTCCTGCTATCTTGTTAACTTGTTAGAGTTAACTTGTTAGGAAGTAGAGCTTGTTAGGAAGTAGAGCAAGAAGTCCACATTGTGTATTTCACTCTGTCACATGCTTTGTGTCTCTGTCTCTCACACATATATATTATTTTGCAGTTGTTACACAATGGCCCATCTCGTCTGTGGCCAAATCTAGAAGGATGAAGATATTTAGCCTCCATGAAACAGAAATCATTGCTGATACAGTATTTCTTTATTTTTGTTTGTCAAGAATTTTGGATGAATTTCTTTCTGTGCCTCTTATATTTACAATGTGTTGCTTGTTTCAAAACCCTTGTTAGGTTTACCTACGAAATAGCTCCTGTATTTATTGTAATGGAAGAAATCCTGCTTCAGAAAATGTGTGAAATTATTGGATGGAGAAAAATTGAAGCAGATGGCATATTTTCTCCTGGTAAGTAGATGCATTATAATTGCATGCTTTGTTCAGAACCTGGAGCCAACATACGTCATTTGATGACGTTTGCAATCTGAACAGGACTGGGAAAGTCATATTTGTGTAAATGCATAGATATTTATGCAAAACATCAAAGAAATAGACCCTGCATGCTGTGGGCAGAGATGATAAAGATATGCTTCAAACCAAATTGGCAAACCAAAACTTTAAGAAGAAAATGTTGGGGTTGTATCTTACAGCAAATCAGCTTAAGGAACTTCATGGATGGAAAGATTCCCACTCTGTCCTCCCTTTTAGAAACCCATCCCACTGACTTAATTGACACTATTTTCTCCAGAAAGTTGGTGGAGGTAAGGAATTGGGAAAGTTCCTTGAAAGGTCTTTTTTTTTTTTAATGGAAACACTTAAAACCTAATTATAACAGGATCCAAGCCTTTATTTGTCCCAAGGACTGGTAGAGCTGTTGCCCTAGAAATGCTATATGCAAGGAGGGTGTGAAATTTTGGCTAACACCCTCTAGCTTACAGAGCAGATAGTGCAGGGACCAACAGAGCAGAATTAGCTCCAAGTCTCCCCAGAATACACCAGCCCTTTTTGGTTGTCTCATCAAATGGCACTTACAGTGTCAGTACTCACTCTGAGATATTGGAAAAAGAAAGAATAAAAGGTTCCATTTACTCACAGTTCTGAACCAATTAAGAATAGCATTCTGTATATGACTGGTTAGATGACAATGGCTTAACTGACTCATAACTGCATACTGACTACATGACTGCACTATGAACTTTAACAGAAAAATGATGGGAAAAGAGTGGGAAAAGTACTCTTAGGCAAATAGGCATGGCCTTTTTCAAAATCAGAGGCAGATCACCCCAGTTCAGAAAGGTCCCTCCCAGCCAAACTTCTTAAAGACAACATGCAAGGCTGAAAATAATTACAGCATATTTGTCTCAGGCACTGGTAGAACTGTGCTCATAGAAAAGCCACTTTGCTACTGGAGCTACTCTCTTCCTCCCCATAGATGGTGGCAACAAACAGCCTTCCCTAGACAGGACCCTCCGGTGGTGCTTCTCCAGAGGTTGGTGGAGGGCAGTGGAGGACAGATGCCCTGCGGTGTCACCCCCCTTCAGATCATGAGAAGGCAAGCATTGCAGCACTCCAGTCATGAGTCATCATTGGCCATGTTGAAATGATTCCACAGGGACCCTTTGCCCTGTTTGGCACTACCATGACCCACTTCCTGTCCTGGCCTGCTGCTGGCCTGGGAAGACTCTGTGCCAGCCAGCGGTGATGGTCTGGGAGGATGGAGGATGAAGCGTCTGGGGACGGGGTGGAGTGTTTGGGAAGGCTGCCTGGCCATTACTGGTTCTGAGGACTGGGAGATTTCTGGACCCTCTAGAACCAGTAACTCCTCAGATTCGTCTAAGAAGAGGAACAGCAGTTCTTTGGACATTGGAGGAAGCTCTGCTTCCGTGCCTGTCTGCAAGGCCACCAGAGGAGGGATGGTGGTCATGTCTGGTCTCGTCAGAGGCTTTCTCCCTTTTGAGACCCCATGGCCACTGCCCTTCATTTTCGCCTGCTCTATATATCTCTGCCAGCCTAACCACAGTTTACAAATAAATGGGAAGAGAAGGAAAAATTAAGGGGAAAATACAGGAGAAGCTGTAGCCTTTTAAAAGGCTAAGGTAATATTTTTAAAAGGAGAAACAGGATGGTGGGGGGGTCTTGAAGGGTTTTTTACTTTTTTATTTTTTATTTTAAAGAGTAACTAGGTAGGTGGAAGAAGCAGGAAAACTAAATAGAATACTCCTAAATAAGTAAACAGACAACCGATCCCCACCACACCCACCCTGCCCAAATGCATGGATCAAAAAATAAGTAATTTTTGAACTAAAATGTGACCTGAATTTAAAAAGCCCTCCCCGGTGTCCCATTAATGAAAATCATAAAGAAAAAAAGTTTTTTTAAATTGAGTATGTGCTTTTTCAGCATACAGGATAAGTGTCAGGAGCACACAGAGGCATCAACAAGCAAACAGCCAGCCAGTAAACCCTTCCCACACACATACACAAACACTCTGGAATAAATGGGGGGGGGGGAAGGTGAAAATCATAAAGAAAAAAAGTTTTTTTAAATTGAGTATGTGCTTTTTCAGCATACAGGATAAGTGTCAGGAGCACACAGAGGCATCAACAAGCAAACAGCCAGCCAGTAAACCCTTCCCACACACATACACAAACACTCTGGAATAAATGGGGGGGGGGAGGTAAAATACATGCACATACACACCCCAGAGATTACCCACCCAACCCTAACCCTAAACCTCAAAAAATAACTAGCCTCTCAACTAAAATGTACCTAGCTAAAGAAACTTTAAAGCCCTCCCCAAATTTCCAGTATTTCAAATGATAATAATAATGAAAGATAGAAATGTAATTTTAAATGTTTTGTTGCCACAGTGAAAAACTGCTGGCTGCCTAAAAGCACACAGACAGTACAGCAGGAGCAACTGCCCATGCGAAGACTTGACCATAAGTGGGCAATGGCTGCAGGGAAAATGCTTATAAAGTCTCTGAAAATCCCCACAGTCTTTTTAGCAGCACTATTGGCTTCCTGCCCTGCCAATCCAAGAGTCTTCAGGTCCCTCCCAGGGTTGCCCAGAGCTTCTGATTGCTGCAGATAGCACAGGAAGCCCCAAAGAGAGAGATGAATTGACGAATCAAAATACAGTAGATAAAAACGATGTTGCTTCATATTCATCAGGATCTCCAGTTTTAATGAATATGAAGCAACAATGTTTTGACATATCAGCAATTTTCTACGAATATCACAATTTGTTGTTGTTGTTGTTTTAAATTCATCCCCATATCCAGTTGGGACTGTTCACTTCCAGTGGCCCAAAGGTAGACCTCAACCTATATACTGAACAGCCCTAATCCTTTGCATTTACAGTAGATCAGGATGGGTTCATAATTCCCATTTTGTTATAACAGGATCTTTAAACTGATACTGTCCTTACCCTAAAGTTAACTACTCCCCCCCCCCAAAAAAAGCTTTGATAATTACGTAGGAATATTTGTGTAGAAGATCTGTGAGCTCCATTCAGCTCATTTCTGTTGGGGGATCCCAGGACTGTAATAAACAAACCAACCAACAGAGTAGATCCTGCAGGACTGAAGCTTGAAACTCATGTGATAAATATGTTCAAAATGTAACATAATTTACTTCTTTGTCTTTCAGGAGGCAGCATATCAAATCTTTACAGTATTTTAGTAGCCCGTTATAAACATTACCCTGAGATTAAAACCAAAGGCATGAAAGCCCTTCCCAACATTGTATTGTTTGTCTCTGAACATGTGAGTATGTCTTTTGCATAAAGGCTACCTCTACTTCTTGGTTGGCATTGCCTTTTAACAAGTAACAATCGAGTGATTCCCATACCGCCTGCCCTGCTCATCTTCTCTCGTTTTAGGGCTCATTATTTTGTTGTGGACAGAAGTTAGCCATCCAGCTGACAGGGCTGTATTCTTGAGTGTTCTGGCAGCCAAACGATACCTTACAGAGAGCCTGTCATTGGGAGCGGAAAACTGTCAGTATTGCAGAGATGTGATTTGGCAGTCTCTTCTGATTCAGGGGACGTGGTGGCACTGCGGGCTAAACCACAGGAGCCTTTGTATGCTGCAGGGTCAGAAAACCAGCAGTCGTAAGATCGAATCCACGTGACGGAGTGAGATCCTGTCGCTTTGTCCCAGCTCCTCGCCAACCTAGCAGTTCGAAAGTATGTAAATGCGAGTAGATAAATAGGTACCACCTTGATGGGAAGGTAAACAGCGTTCCGGGTCTAAGTTGCGCTGGCCACGTGACAATGGAAACTGTCTTCGGACAAACGCTAGCTCTACGGCTTGGAAACGGGGATGAGCACTGCCCCCTAGAGTCAAACACGACTAACTAAATGTCAAGGGGAACCTTTACCTTTACCTCTGATTCAGTAAGCATATGTGCAGAAAAAACCTGTACTTATCTCCCAAGGACTAATCACAAAAAGATTATTTGCAAACTAGAGGAGGTGTGAAAAACTCCTGCTGTGACAATCAGCAATTCTCAATGACAGGTTATCTATAATGTCTGCCTTCTCTAGAGCAATGTTGTTAGTTGGTTGGTTTGCTTTGTTCTACTTCTGCAACCATTCTGCTGCAGATGTTGGGGCATTATGCCAGATAGGCAGCCACCTCAAGTGAGCCGGACTCCTATCAAGGCCTTCAGGGCCCTACATCAACTCAGACACTGGCATGTTTCCCCCTAATCCTGAGTGCAGAATGTACCCACAGAATCAGTTTGTGGGATGAGATGCCTGCCAGTTCTATCAACATTGTCACATTACCATGTCCACGCTTGAACTTGTCTGCTTCTGGAAGCTTAGCAAAGTCAGGACTGGTTATTATTTGTATGTGAGACAACAGGGAAAACCAAAGATATCTAAATAGGTCCAGGAAGAGCATCTTCCAGTCAGTGTTATGATACTGGGATGGGTGGGCCAAGGAACTGACTCAAGGAGCCCTTTTCCTAGGTTTTTAATATTGTCCCTGCATGTGAACTGGTGTCATCATCTAGCATGTAGGCTACCCAACTGCTGGTTTCTTGCCCTTTGCCACACAAATGAGAGAATGCACACTAGGCAGTCTAATCACTTTTCTCTAAAGCAATCGTTTAGCAGAGCAATCCTATATGTAACTGCTCAGAAGTTCCACACTGTTGCTTTGAAGGTTCCTATGTTTCGTGACATACGGCTGCATGCATGTGTATGTACATATGCACACTTGCACACACCTAGCCTCTGTATGCTATACAACTTATATACCCAGTCTTTCATTCGATTCTGTTTTAGTTGGCTGTTTTTAATCCAGCTGTACCCAAACCATATGCATGATATGTCAAATTAGGTGTTCCTCAATTTGGGGCCTTCCTAATGTTTTAGACTACAGCTCCCAGTTGGATACTTGGGATTGATCAGACTGGCAGTGCAAAATGTTTGGAGGGTCTGAGGCTGGGTAAGAGTGCACTAAAAAAATATCAGCAGCGAGTGTCTTCTTTTCTTGCGTTATCTTTTTCTATTTTGCGACCCTCAATATAAACCTTGTTTCAAAATAGGATAAAAAATCCACAACAGAAAATAATACGTTGGTATAAGATTGTGGCCTAGGTAAGTTTATGTTTCATTTGAATTATAGTCTTATTGATGTCAACAGGAAAGGAAGAGGCTAAAACCCCAGTGTCATCTTTCTTCATACATCTTTAAGACAGAAGATATGATGAAACCCTCATTTTAATGCTGATGCTTGTTGTGATCCTTCTTCTCTTTAACCTTTTCATCCTTACATCTCCCAGAGCCATTACTCTGTAAAGAAAGCTGCTGCAGTTCTTGGGATTGGGGTGGATAACGTGATTACTGTCAAGTGCGATGAAAGGTGAGACCTGTTGCAGTTCATGGTGCATAGTTTTTCGATATGTCTTCCATCACGCAATGTCCATGCCTATGTTTGTAGAGAGAGCAACACAGGAAGCTGGCTGATCAGACCATTGGTAATATCAGGTTCAAATTACAGTGGTGCCTCGCTTAACTAGGATAATCCGTTCCACAAAATCACTGTAGAACGAAATCCTCGTTAAGTGAAATAAAAAAGCCCATTGAAACGCATTGAAAACCCTTCAGTGCGTTCCAATGAGCTGAAAACTCACTGTCCAGCGAAGATCCTCCATAGGGGCGACCATTTTCACTGCCTGTAAAGCGAGGAATCCATCCTAGAAAACAGCGGGGGGGGCATTTTGTACACCTGGTGGCCATTTTGAAACCCAATGATCAGCTGTTTTTAGATCGTCGTAATGCGAAAATCGGTTGCTGAGGCAGGGAACCGATCATCGTGAAGCGGATTTTTCCAATTTAAACCATCATTTTGCAATTGGTTTTGCGATCACAAAAACCTAATCGTCAATTGATTTCCTCATTAAGTGAGGCAATCGTGAAGTGAGGCACCACTCTGTGTGTGTGTGTGTGTGTGTGTGTGTGTGTATGTATATTTATATGTATACATATATATGTGTGTGTGTGTGTATGTATATATGTATATATATGTATACATATGTATATATGTATGTATATATGTGCACTGAGCATTGTTCAAACTGCTCACACATTTAAATGCATAAACATCTCCTTGATTGTTGATTAGCTCATTCACAAATTGTTTTGGTTTTTTATTAACAGATTTCATAATTTTTCAAATCTGTATCTCTTTGGGGGCACTCTGTTAAAAGTCTACTGGGGAGGAGATTCCCTTCTTCACTGGCCTCACCACTGAGTCCAGCAGCTGCCTCCTGTTAGCTGCCATTTTATTTTCTCACAGTGCTCCAGGTGTTGTGTCATTTCAATTTTCCTCCCAAGCAGTACCTGGATTAGTTTTGCTGACAGGAAGGAAATGGAAGAAGATTCAATTGAAGCCCCATGCTTTCCTCCCTTGTGACTAACCTTGGATGAGGAGAAGCTTGGGGTTGAGCTCCATAACCCTGCCTCCCCCAATGCATCCTTAACGTCCATCTCTAGAGCATTCCTCACACTGGGGTGGAATCCCAACATCTCAAGCAAGAAGACTTCTCTGGTCCTGTAGGGTCCCTGTGCAATTTGAACCTGTTTTGATTAGGGAGGCAGAGTTACTCTAGTAGGAAAGACTCCACATTACAAAAGTTTACTCTCCAAGGCATTCAGGCTGCTGAGCACACGAGGACATGAGTAGGGTCAAGGAGTTCATTCCTGGCCTCCCCATGCTATGCAAGTCTAACCAGGTGGGAAGGGATAGATTGGGATAAGGCTTGAGTTGGAGCAGTAATTTTGCTCATAGATTAATAGAGACCCTGTCATTATCTTCTTTACCCTCCTCCTCCTCCACCTCCTTGTTATATCATCATCATCATTTTGTGAGAAATGCCATTTATGACTTTTATTAACAGATGCTTTTCCTTTCTTCATATCTTCGCAGGGGAAGGATGATTCCAACTGACCTGGCAAGAAACATCCTCAAAGTCAAAAGACAGGTCCGATTATTATTTTTCTGTCATTGGCCGGAATTCTATTTGTAGCCACCCAAGGCTTGTGTAACTCATTGCAACTAATTGAGGCTAACTAACGAGGCACCAGGGACATCTCAGTTGCGTGCTCTTGTGCCTGATCAGATGAATGACCAAGGCATGCCCCAGCACCTCATCAATTAGCTGCAGTTAGGTATTTCCCAAAATGAAGAAGATTTTCCCCCACGCCTAAAAAGAAGCAAAGAAATTGCTTTGGCAAAAATATATCAAAAGCCATTATACTTTTGGTGAAGTTCTTTGGAGTAGAACCTAGGTTTTTTTTGCAATTACTTTTGTTATAAGGGTCCAGATGGTGTGTGGGACAGTTCTGTCTTTTATTGTACAATAATCTGTCCATCAGTTAAAACCTAGTGGAAATTGTCATGAGCTAACTCTTCTGATGTGCCTTTGTTGGACCAAGGGCAGCTTGAGAGATGCAATGGAAAGATGTGCAATGGGGGGTTCGTAGCATCTGTAGTCACCTCACGGTGTTGGTGATGATAATGATGATGATTGCTTGGTGTCAAGTTGGTTCTCACTTATGGGGACAGTTTTCAAGGTTTTCTAGGTAAATGGTACTGAGAAGTGGTTTCTCAGTGCCTTCTTTTGGAATACTCTGAGAATCTATCATGCCTAAAACCACACAGGCTTGCTCTTTTCCTACAAGTCACAGTCAGGAACTGAACTCCAGACCTCTGTGCTCCACCTCACTGAGCTATCCAAGCAACTCAAAATGATAAAGTAAGTCTAAAACCATCACTGGCACACACTGTAATCCTGTGTCCTCATGTTAAAATGTTTCTATTTACACAGGCATTTCATTCATTCATTCATTCATTCATTCATTCATTCATTCATTCATTCATTCAATCAATCAATCAATCAATCAATCAATCAATCAATCAATCAATCAATCAATCAATCAATCAATCAATATACCGCCCTTCTGGCTGAGGGCCAATCTGGGCAGTTCACAACACAAAATAACAGAATAACAATATACAAGAATCAAATCATGAAATACAATGCAACTATATGAAAATATTATAACAAAATCAAAACAGACAATTTAAAAGGCATTCTAAAAATACCTAACATTTAAACATTTAAACTGGTAATGGACAGCAGCTATCAATTGTTAGCTTTGGTGTCAGCAGACTGTGAGGGTGGCATAGCTTGAAAAGCCGGCTTCAACAGCCAGGTTTTGAGCTGCTTCTTAAAAATCACCAGAGAGGGGCCCAGGTGGATAGTAGATGGTGGGTTATTACATAGCTGGGGAGCAACCACCGAAAAGGCCCTATTTCTTGCCTTCTCCCGCCAAGCCTCTCACAAGGTCAGAACTTTCAGCTGTCCCCTATTGGTAGGTTTGTATTTTTCCTGCCTTAAAAACATATGATAAAGTTTTATTGCTATTGCTGTATTTCAGTTTGTTAACTTATGCTTATTGTTCCATGCCTCAGTATCTGATGAAGGGTCTTTGTATCTGTCTGCCCGCATATGCATGAAATAAAAGATGAAAGGGAAAACAATTTGAAAGTGCCCTGAGACTGGGGCAAAAAAATGGGAAGACTCCTATGCAGATGAAGTGGGTGGGGGACATATTGCTGTTGTTTAAAGTACAGTAGGACTGCAGTATCCATACGGGACCAGTTCCAAGCCCCCTCCACAGATGTTGATAAACATGGAAGTTCAGAACACTATACACTACATGTTCTCTGACACCCTTTAGTGTCCAGTTCTGGTAAATACACCATAAAAATACATATACAGTGGTGCCTCGCAAGACGAGCGCTCAGTTTTATGACGAAATCGCATTACAACGAAGTTTTTGTGATCGCTTTTGCGATTGCAAAACAATGTTTCCTATGAGGAAATTTCGCTTTTAGGCCAGCTGATTGGCGGTTTCAAAATGGCCGCTGGGTTAAAAAAAATGGCTCCCCGCTCTTTTCTGGGATGGATTCCTCGCTGCACAAGCAGCAAAAATGGCTGCGCTATGGAGGATCTTCGCTGGACGGTGAGTTTCAAGCCCATAGGAACGCATTAATCAGGTTTTAATGCATTTCTATGGGCTTTTAAACTTCGCTTTACGATGTTTTCGTTCTACAGCGATTTCGCTGGAACGAATTAACATCATAATGTGAGGCACCACTGTAAATATTATTTTTTCAGGGGATTGTTATTTAGTATTTTCAGGCACTGGTAAATGAATCAGCGAAAATTGATCCTATGGATAGGAGAATCTTACTTTGTGTATTTATTGCTTTTCTGTCCACCAGCTTGCAAAGCAAAATACAATCAAACAGATACAAATATTCTTCAAAAAACAGGTTTAGAACCATCTGAAAGTGAATTTTGAGACCAGCTTTAAAGGTACAGGAACTGATGATGTGTCCAATGTGACTGAACACAGATAAAAAATTTTAGCTCTGTACCATTGGACCACCCTCTTCCACAGCAGTACATGGTCAAAGGAAGTCTGAATTTTTGTGATTCGCTGTAGCAAGCCCTCTTCACTAGTGGAGGCAGTCATTTTGTTTTCTTTTTCAGGGCAAAGTCCCACTCTATGTCTGTGCCACATCTGGGACCACAGTGTACGGAGCCTTTGATCCTCTTGCCAGCATTGCCGACATTTGTGAGAAGTACAATCTCTGGATGCATGTAGATGTAAGCTTGTTTTCCTTTTTATTAACCTGTTGTAGTTACCTAGTAATAGAGTGAAGCTAAAAATTTTGCTTCGGCTATTTTTCTTTCCTGTTTCTCTCCCCAGACACACCCACACACAGATGTTTTAGGACCAAAAAACAATGTATTGATTGGTGCCTTCTAAGATCAGAAATCCTGGAAAGGATTACCATAAGTTAGGACTGACTTATCGCACTTCTGCACTGGCCAAGGAGGCACCAACCCCCTTTGGGGTGTGAACCCTTCAGAAACAGACTGACTATATTTCAGATTATTAGCCTATTTTGTATGGTTACTGGCAGAAAATGACAAGATCTAAAATGTGTTCTTTATTTCTGATAGGCAGCCTGGGGTGGAGGTTTGCTACTGTCAAGGAAGCATTCCCATAAACTGAGTGGCATTGAGCGGTAAGCACCCTGTTGTGTTTTTTATTTGTGCTGCATTGAATTTAACACCTTTCCTAGTCATTTCTCTTAGTTTCTGGCATTTTTCACAACAGAATATGAGAAATAGCTCTATAGTAATAGTGATGCATAACATAAGCAGCTGCTTTTCAGTTCTCTTCCCTCCCCCCTCACCGAGTGCAGTGAATTAATACATTGAGAAAAGAATATTCTAAAGCAGTGGTTCCCAACCTTGAGTAGCCAAGGTGTTCTTGGACTGCAGCTCCCAGAAACCCTGGCCAGCACAGCTGGTGGTGAAGGCTTCTGGGAGTTGCAGTCCACAGTCATTTGGGTTACTCAAGCTTGGGAACCACTGTTCTAGAGCAGGAAATCTTAACCTTTTGGAAAGAATTGCCCCCTTGAGCCGTTGAGGAAGTTATCATCGCCCCCCCTCCTGTGTTGGTGGCACTGCCGCTGCGGGAGGGGGGGCAATGATAACTTCCTCAATGGGGTGGTGGCGGTGGCACCGGATCCGCTGCCAGCCCCAGCTGCTCTGGATGCACCTGCCGGATCGGCTGCCAGCACCATGGATCTTAACCTTTTTGAAAGAATTGCCCCCTTGAGCCATTGAGGAAGTTATCATCGCCCCCCCTCCTGTGTTGGTGGCACTGCCGCTGCGGGAGGGGGGGCAATGATAACTTCCTCAATGGGGTGGTGGCGGTGGCACCGGATCCGCTGCCAGCCCCAGCTGCTCTGGATGCACCTGCCGGATCGGCTGCCAGCACCATGGCTGCAGCCACCTTCTCAGGTTTGGCTCACTCTATCGCCGGCCCTATCGCCCCCTTCTGTTCCTTTACCCTCGCATTGCCCCTTTTCATTCCATCGCCCCCCTGAAAAATGAAATCGCCCTCCCAGGGGGCGATTTCGCCCAGGGTAAAGACCACTGTTCTAGAGGACAAAGAAACAAAGAACAGAATGGTAATCATGTTTCTATTATCTAGAAGGTGCACAGATCTCTTTTCTCTGGGTATCCATATGCTTATAAGGTTTTCAGCAGAAATTGCTATATTCTTAAAAGTTTTACCCAGTTTTTTTCTTTATCATCTGACTCCCCCGTGTTCTTTTTCAGTTGCTTCGATGATGCTTTGAACTTTAAGGAACAAAGTTGGCATTATTAACAAGCTATCTATGAAATTTGAGAAGGTTAATGGCTTTATACTGATGCTTTCTACTAATATTTATGTGTACACTTGTGTGCTTCAGAATATATCACTGGTCCTGAAATATTTATTGTCTTTTAATTTTTTCTTCTTCACCTAGGGCCAATTCTGTCACCTGGAATCCTCACAAATTAATGGGAGTCCCACTGCAGTGCTCGGCCTTTTTAGTCCGTGAGAAGGTATCACCTTTTCTCTTCCCACCGTGGGCAGACTTAAACGTTTCTCATCAAATCATACAATTCAACCTCACCAGATTTAAATATACCTGCTAGGGAAAGACCTGCAGGATAACTCTCACATGAGCACCGCTGGAGCTGCTATTTTATGCATGCTAGAGCTTAGAAAAGTTATTTTAGAGGGCCTACAACTTTCAGAATGTTCTAGTCAGCGTGGCCATTTGGGCAAAGAGATTCTGGGAACTGTGTTGTAAGGGGGGATTTTTCATGCTCTGCCACACACTTATTTGGAAGCAGGTTAGAGAGCATTTCCAGGCACAGTGTTATCATAACATTTCTATCTCTCTTCTAGGGTCTTCTCCAAGCCTGTAATCAGCTTTGTGCTGGATACCTCTTCCAGCCAGACAAACAGTATGACACATCTTATGACACTGGGGACAAGACAATCCAGTGTGGCCGACATGTTGATGTCTTCAAACTGTGGCTGATGTGGAGAGCCAAGGTAGGAGTTATCTGATGCATGAAGTCATTGAGATAGAAAGCTACAACAGATATTTTGGTCTGAGGAGTATTTAAATTCATGGAGACTTGAAGTGGTAAAAATGGAGACAAAAGGTGGAGGGAAGATGCAGCACATGTGAACAGGGGAAGGACAACAGGGGAAGAAAAATTGGAGTTATTTCGAAAAAAACTGCTGCCTTTTTGTAGGCTTGGATGGGAGGGATCTTTCTGGGCTGAGGTGATTGTCAGTCAATCCAGCAGTAGCCAGTTCTTCCTTCTCTGCCTCTGATTTCAAAGATAGCCACACCTCTCTTCTTAATAGTCTTTTCCTTCTCTTTTTAGTCTGTTAGCAGTTAGGGATATTAGTGTTTAGTCTGCATGAGTGCTATGAATCTGTCAAGGCCTGTTGCTGTAAGCAATCATTTTTGTACAATATGCTGGTTTTGAGCCGTTCAACTGTGAGTAAATGAAACATTTTTTCATCCTCTTACCAATTTCTCAGAGTGAGTTTTTGTGACTGTAAGTGCTAGTTGATAAGAGAAAAGGGGTGGTCAACTCTGGGGAGATTTGAAGGACCCCACATTTAGTTCATGCAGAGCATTAGCTAAGCCTGTTTGGTCTCTCTGTTGCCCCTTAATGCCATGCAGAGTACTGCAAATAGTGTCAATAATGCAGAACTTCAGGGTTGAGTCTACCATTAGTCAAAGTGAGAAGTTGCCACAGAGAGCAGATGCTGTAGGGAAGAAAGCAGAGGCAAGTTCCTGGAAGACAGGACTACGCGTGGGATGCAGTTTGCCATGCACCCCCACCAGAAGCTAGTGTACTGCTGTCTGGCACAGTAGAGGATGCTGTCTTGTCACCACTGTGGAAATAAGATTCAGAGGCCCATTGAGTCACTTCAGTGCACAGAATGGAAGAATGGGGTTCCATTTTGTATTTTGTGTTGTTGTAGCTCTGAAAGAAAGATCAGGGAAGTTTCTCTACCTTTATTGATAATTTCACAGAAGACACTCTGAATTCCTCAAGTTCTTGAGGAAGAGCATGTGGAATCCAAAAGGTATCTTCTGAGCCACTAATATAGCAAACAGTATCAGACTGAATGAAGAGATCTGGATTCAAATTCCTGCTCTGTCATGAAGGTTCCCAATTACATCTGAGCAGCTCACCAATTTCTCAGCCTATGCTTTCTCAGAAGGGTTGTTAACGTTGGTAATGTCAAACAGCACCATGGACGTTTGCTTGGAACCCTGGAAAAAATGATAGAGTATGGTGGCTTCCTTCCAAGATGTGATATCAGAAAACTGTATACAGTACTTCCCAATGGGTGTTATAAGAATAAAAACAAACACTGGTGTAACTATTCCCAAGAGGCAAAATATACCTTCTCATCATGCATGACTATTGACTAGAGACCAGCATGAATTTAAAAAATGAATCACTAGATTCAGTGAATCAATGCCCCTGACAAATCACGAATCAATGAATTTTAGTGATTTTTGATTCATTGTTTTGTTTAGCTATTAAATGCCCCCCAGGGCAACTAGAGACACCAAAATTGCAGGAAGGCTTCCTCTCACTCTCCTCTACAATCCCTCCAAGCTTGGTGAAGATTGAGTTTCCCCAAGTCAGCTACTAAAGGGTACTTTCTGGGGGGGGTTTCACTTTGTGGGTGTATAACTTGAATGTTTGAAACTCAATCTTCTCCAAACTCGAAGAAGCTTCTCTATGATTTTGGTGACTCTATATGCCGGGGGGGGGACTTTACTGGGGGGCGGCTCCTTGTGGGTGTATAAATCAGACATCCAAAATCCAAACTTCACCAATTTGCACGGCTTATAGTGGAGAGTCAGGGAAAGCTGACCGTCTTTAGGTCCTTGGGGGAAGCATTCAATAGGGTTTTAAAGTAAAAAATGAATCGACAAATTGATTTTTTGATTCTTCAGGAAAAAAATCATAAATTTGTAATTCATGATTCGTCAGCCTTGATAAATCACTAATCAAAACAGATCATCATTTTTTCTGATGTGTTCCCATCTCTACTATTGGCCTGTCTTTACAGAACTGTTCTGTGGGATTCAGCCCACTTAACAACAGTGTTATTTAAATTTAAAGTAGGGCTTAATAACAATTTTGCAATGTACTATTCTGTGATTTTTTTTAAATCATAGCACATCACAAAATTATAGTATAGCTCAGTGGTATAGGTACAGTACCTGGATGGGGAGCCAGAGGTTGGGTGTTCGATTCCCCACTGTGCCTCCTTGACAAGAGCTGGACTCAGTGATTCATAGGGTCTCTTCCAGCTCTCCAGTTCTAAGATGGTGATGATAGTACTGACAATTATATCATATCATTAATTATTCAGCAAACTGAAATTTTGTAAGATAGCATGGTTGGCCTTAAACTTTCAGTTGTGGCTTGGTTTTTTCTCACAAGTGATTTCTCCAGAATAATTTACTATGCCGGTGGCATAGTAAATTATTAAAGCAAAGCAAAGCAAAGCAAGTCTCCAGAATAATTTACAATGCCGGCACAAGCAACTTTTTTATTAAAGCAAAGCAAAGCGTGCTGCTTATATACCGCCCCATTGTGCTTCAAGCACTCTCTGGGCGGTTTACAAGTTAATTATGCAGGCTATACATTGCCCCCCCAGTGAGCTGGGTACTCATTTTACCCACCTCGGAAGGATAGAAGGCTGAGTCAACCTTGAGCCGGCTACCTGGGATTTGAACCCCAGGTCGTGAGCACAGTTTTAGCTGCAGTACAGCGGTTTAACCACTGCGCCACGAGGCTCCTAAAACATTTGTGGCACATTGTAGTCATTCTCACAGGTTAATCTGAAAATGGACAGGAGAACAGATTAGATATCATTTTCATTGTTCAAGCTGCACAGTCTGAGGAGACTTAAACACCCAGAGTGTTAAGTCTGAAAAAAAATTCTGTTCCTACACCCTCTTCTTTGCATAATATCTTACAGGGAACTAGAGGATTTGAAATGCATATCAACAAATTTCTAGAACTTGCAGAATACCTTTATAAGGAACTGAAAATAAGAAAAAACTACAAGCTTGTATTTGATGCTGAGGTAAGTTCTGATCAAGGACAGTATTTCTGGAGTATGTATTGAATCTGGTTATCTGCTTCTGAAAGAGGATGAGCAAAGCTGGTTCTCAAGATGTTTAGGTACTGTAGCTTCCTGCCTACCTCATCATTCATTCTGCTGGCCTGGAATGATGGGGATTGTAGGCCGAAAACATGTGGACATCCTCAGCTGCCCATCTTTTCTCTTAAAGTAACTGATTCCAGAAGTTCTCAAAATCCTGCTTTCAAAGGGTGATGTAGAATACGGAGGCAGTTAATTGTCACAGACAGTTCAAGCAGATTTCAGTTTTTCTGTATTTCTTTGGGTCAGGAGATGGAGATGTGATCTGTTTTAGACACATATACTCCAACAACAGAGGCTTCCTCCAACTTATTCATGTGTTGTAGAGATCCGTACATGCTTCTGCTCCCTGCTTTCCATGGCCATTTTTCTTGCAAAGTTATAAACCCTGAGTGGGTTCATTAGGATTTTGAAGTGGTCAAGAAACAGAGTAGGTAGGCATCTGTATTTCTATGTGTCAATGTGAACCACAGAGTTTCATGGCTCCGTGGGGACCAAGTCCCAGTTCCATACTTTCATCACAACACCACATTGGCTCTCAAGTTCTGTAAGATTTTGGGAGTATTACAAACAAAATATGAGTTAATGTGTCTTCCAGACAACACAAAAGCTTTTTATATTTCATTTTAGTTGTGTCACTACCAAACTAAATTCCTTCACTTGTTTGGTGGAGCTAGTGCTTTTCCTGCTGAAAGAAGTTAAAATAATTATATTGACAAAACAGCAATGATAATACCATCATCTTCACCATTATTTATCACCAAGTTTTAAAAATTAAAAAAATCCACCACAACTTAACAGTTACATCACATTTAACCATTATAGATTTGGACACTTATCACTTACCACCCAAGCATCAAACATTATCATGTCACACAGACTCTATGGAAATGCCTTGCTGTTCTTGACTGTTTCTAAGACTTCATCTACCTGAAGAACGAATAAATGTAATGGCACAGTCTATACAGAGCTTTGCTAAACACACCCTTGCTGAGACAAGACTCCTAAGGACTCACCCAGATATATTTGTACAAACAGATGCAATCTCATAATAAACATGCTGACAGATTAGATTTTTTAAATTTAGTCCTAACGGAGTTACTGTTTGTAAAGATTCAGATTGCCTCTCTTTGGGCCAATATAATATGAGGATGAACCTGCTGTCTCATGTTAAACTTTACATCCAGAGGCTAATGGTTCCGTACCTGTGTGTGTGAGTGCATGCGTGCATATTGGTAAGCAAAAATGGTACCAAGACCCTGTAGGCTATATTTATATATATTGTGTTCATGATCTCTGGTGTAAGAAAGCCAGGCTAGTAGGAAGCTGTATGTATATGTATGCACACTAGCGATCATGGGCACAAAATGCAGTATGTATATGCATGCACACTAGCGATCATGGGCACAAAATGAGGTGAATCGCATTGGTGGATTGACAAGTGACAAATACTCTTAGCCTATACACATTTATCTCTCTCTCTCAAGGATTAACAAGCTGTTGCAAATATTCTTACCCTATAAACATTTATCTCTCTCTCTCTCAAGGATTAACAAGCTGTTTCAGCTGTAAAGATTGTGTATCACCCTTCCAGTACATAATCATGCACCTGGTTATCCAAGGTTCATAGATATGCTTTTGGTAGTCTCGTACTCCTATGAGACTGAGAGCCAGGAGGAAAATCACCCTTCCAATACATAATCATTCACCTGGTTATCCAAGGTTCATAGACATACTTTTGGTAGTCTCATACTGTACTCCTATGAGACTGAGAGCCAGGAGGAGCCATTCTGGCTTCTAAGGGGAGTTTCTCCAGCATCGGAAGTTGAGGGGCAGATGGCAAGTATATATGAGGTGTGTGAATCTATGGGGCTCCTGGGGCTCTAAATCCTGCTCACGGTGCTGCTGATCTTCTGTATATGGGGACATTTGAGTGCATTCAATTAATCTTTAGTCATGAATTGGAATTGCAGCAAACTCAGTCCAAGCCAGATTTTTTTTGGACAAATCTGTGAATTGCTTCTGACATATTTGTTGATGTTCCAGTGGATGGAGACCTTTACAGTCTTGCCAGCAGCAGAGGGAGCTCTTTCCATTAATGGAAAAAGAGACCCATTGTGGGGCTAAAGTCATAGAAATGGAGTTTCTGATAGAAGAAAACATCCAATCAGCTTTTAACCTTGAGTGTTAAGTAGAGTGAGAGCCAGTACAGTATTGTGGATAGATGGACAGACTAGAACTCAGGAGATATGGGTTCAAATCTCCACTCAGTCTTGAAAATCCACTGGGGATGACACTGGTAGAACCACTTCTTAAATATCGCTGGGGATGACACTGGTAAAACCACCTCTTAAATATCTCACATGCCTTGAACACGCTATCTAGGTTGCCATAGGCTAGGTCCAACTTGATGGTATTGTGATATGTACTGAAACAGTATCTATCACAAGCAGTTAAATAGGATTGTGGGAATTGCTTGTCAGTCATCATATTAAATCTTTATTTGGAAATCAGTGAACTGAAATACCTCTGACATTTATATACAGGAAAACTATGTATTTGAACTAATTTTGTTGGGGAACTCAATAGTAACATCTTACTGAAAAGAAGGACCTTTGTTCCAAGGTTCACGTTTTATATGCAAAACTAGAAGGATTATTCAGAAACTGTCCAGGTAGATTCAATAACAGTGATGAATAGCATTTGTTCTTGGGAACTGATTAGTGAAGAATATTCACTACATACAGGGATATTTAATATTTTCTTTTACACTCTATTTTAAAGCCTGAACTCACCAATGTATGTTTCTGGTACATCCCACCAAGTCTTCAGCAGATCCCCAAAGGACCAGAGAGACAGAAAAGACTTCATCAGGTAAATCTTCTCATGTAATTCTCATGTACTATTGGAAGAAGGACGCCTGAAACCAGAATGCTCCATTCCAGGCAAAACAGGTGAATGTTCAATGGAGTAAGTCCACCTCTTAGTTTCTTTCAACTACACATCAGGCCTAGAAGTAGGCAAACTTCTCTACAATCCCCATCGCTGCCCCCATAATTCCACTCCATCCCCCAATGTAAATATCTGCCCGTTTTTCTGTCTGATGTTGAATTACAATTTTAATAGCTATTTTTCATGTTGATGGTAGATGGCTGTGAGCGGTGACTTCAAACTCAGGTTTCAAAAGTCCTTGCGGTGTGTGTATGTGGATCATTCCTTGCAGCATGCTTAGAATTTTTGCCCCCTGTTCTTTAGACCAAAAGCCTGCCAATTATAATGGATAACATGATAGACACCTCTCACTTCACACATCTTCAAAATGACACCATAGATGTCTCCTACGTTATATATAGCTCCAGTGTATCAATTCTTCAAGATTTTTCTCAATTCTTTAATCCTGTATCACTGCCATGGATCCCAGTAATTTGTTTACACAACCACCTGCTCTTCTGACTATTTCTTCTATTATTCCAGAAAATAATTGTCATTTGTATATCTGCTCAGGTTGCTCCAAAGATAAAAGCAAGGATGGTAGAAGAAGGAACCATGATGGTTAGCTATCAACCTCATGGGGACAAAGTGAATTTTTTCAGAATGGTCTTCTCTAATCTGGCAACCAAGAAATCTGATGTCGATTTCCTCTTGGATGAAATTGAACGGCTTGGGAAGGATTTGTGACAGCTGCCAGGAAATCTCCAAAAAGAGAGGGGACCAACTCTCTCCGCTCCCAAATTATTGTTCTATGGAATGCTTCACTGATCTTTCAGCTCCTCTTTTCTCCCAACAATTTGGGTGGGAGCAGGGAGGCAAAATGAAGAGACTTGCAAAAGAGGTTGGGAAGATGGACAATCTGGATGAAATGTCATGTGTTAATGACAGCAATCGTGTATAAAGTATGGAACAACACATACGCACACACATTTAAGTGTCCTTTGTCTGCTCATAGCAGGGCAGGCGTTGTCTCAACCAGGCTTCCCTGCTGGCAGGTGTATCTGCAATTAGCCACATGCCACTGCAAATTGGAAAATAAAAAAAGATAAAGAAAACAAAGAGGGAAAAATCACACAAATAACCCCTTTCATGGGTGGCAAAGAAATTCATGAAGGTACAGGTGGGGTTTGGCACAGCATGGATTCTGTGAAACTGGGGAGCATCAGGGCACTTAGGAAAGGGAGAAATATTATTCAAACAGATATTTTTGCCAAAGATGCATGCCCATCTTTCTATGTAACTACACACAAATACTGAACCTACTAATATATCACATTATTTGAGGCGGGGAATGTGTGTCCCTCTGTGAGCCAGCTCACACCCTCGCAGTGCTGTCAGACAACAGCTTCCATGACCTTCTGCTCTGCTGGCTAAGGCTGATAGGAACTGTAGCCCAACAACATCTGGGGACGATGTGTTCCCCCTCTTCTATTCTTGCTTTGCTATGCAACTTTTGCACAGATGGAAATCGGCCTCCATCAAGGAGGGGGAAAAGAAACAACAACAAAAAAGTCAGTTCTGCAAATTGAGGGACAATATAGTGGCAGAATAAATTGGAATGTCCATAAACTGTCTTCTGATGATAGAAGGCATATGCGCATTCACATTCCACTTGAGTAAAGTGTTTTGCATCAAAATGTCCATTTCATTTTGTTTACTTTATCTGGGTTCTGTCTGATCCATTTCTACTTGCACATAAATAAGCCTCAGTTGTGGATGGGATTGTGCACTGAGTTAAGACTTTATTCAGAAGCCTTTCAATTTTTTTCCTGTACCCATGCAGTGTCCACAAAATAAGAATTTGGTGAAAAGTAATCGTATTTTCCAGCAGAAGTACACAATCTGGTTCACCAGAATTTCAAATCTCCCTTTTTTCTGAACATGAAGAATGCTTTAAGGTTGCAATCCTATGTCCAGTTTCAAAGAAATAAGAGCCAGAAGTATGTAATAAGAATTACATGGTACATACTTCTGAATAACTATTTGTAGGACTATACTATATTTCCAGCCCAGTACAATTAGTTTATGAAATAGTTGCTTCTTAGCTTCAGAATACTGTTTCCTGACAAAGACAGGATGAGATCTTTATATCATTTTCTGAGATATTTAACAAACTTGAATGCCAATGGATAGATAGTGCAGTGCAATGTTCCACTATCTTCTACTTGGGTCAAAAGGACTAACAATTTCAGTCAAACTGTAAACATGTGCTCAAGTTGTTCAGTGAATTATGTCAGCACTAAGTAGAATAAGCATTACAATGGGCTGGAGAACAGTTCTTTCTGTAAATTGTGTATGAATAACGTGTTTTTATATTTAGATAGCTGCAGAAATCTTTATCAATTAGAAAATAAAAGTTGTGTTTTGTTGATACCGATATTGGGCATTACCAGCGTTGACTTAACAGTGACCTGAATCAGCACAGAATGGGAAAGGGAGAATTCAGATTCTCTACTGAAATTATATAAATAGAGTGTATATAATTCACTGCTGCTGAACAGCAGTACAGCACTGTTGTTGTTTAAAGGAATGCAGAATAAATTGGAATGTCCATAAACTGTCTTCTGATGATAGAAAGCATTTTTGATTCTGCAGGATCCTATACAGAAAAAATGCATCTCTCTAGTTGTTATTTCTCTTCAGTTCTCTTGGTTGATAAGAGTGTGGGACTTCCTAAAAGTTAACACTACAGAAAGTCATCCAGTGTTCTTCATCCAAAATTGCTAAGTTGCCCTGGAGGTTAAGTCAAGCAGAATCTGCAGGTTCAGAGGAATGTCATAAATATTAGTTTATTTCATTCTTGCTAGTGAGAACAAAAAGTTATAAAATGTTTCTGTCCACTGTGTGTGAAATTCTGGGACTTTTTGCATTTGACTATTTGAGAGGGGTCGACAAATCCTTGGAAGTGATTTTATGCAAACCCCCAACAACAACAAAAACCACCCTTCTTCTTGTGCAACCCCCCCCCCCAGTATTTTACTAAAATCTTTGTATTTTGCACAAATAAAAGGGGTTTTGTTCAAAATATTTTTGTGCTAAAAATAGCCTTTCTTTTTGAACTAATGCTGATCCTGACAGGAAAAAAAAATCTCTAGTCTTCTCACTTTCATGCAGGAGCAAAATGTCTTTCAGCAGGTGAAAAGTTGTTGTTGTTGTTTTCAGGAAGGAATAAATATGGGAGTATTCATTACATCCTTAGTTCAGCAGGCAGCCTGTGGAAATCTGGCAGCTTAAAATATGAAAAGAGTTAGCTTCACACCACATTTTTAGCTGAGTTAAATGTGCCACAGTTATGACCCCCCTGAACTTTCCACAAGGCCGCCATGATTAATACCTTTAAAAATCCCAAGAAGAATCATAGATTCTGCTCATAGATTTCATATCGTACTTAGTCGGGCCTTCAGAGTTGAAAGCCAAAAATAATATTACTTTCTTGGACATTCTTTTGGAGAATAATAAAAGGGTACCAGAGAACAAGACCATCATGACTGTAAAAGAAGGAAAGAAAAGAAGGAAATGGAAAGGTGAAAGTAGAACCAGAGGTCCACCATCCGGGGCTCTGGAGCCACAAGAGGCTCATGGCTGCTCCTCAAGGCTGGTGGCACCCTGTCCAAATTTTTACCACCCCCCAATTGGTCTTCTGGGTTGCAGGGGCAAAAACCCTGTTTCCTAATTTCTGCTAAGGAAGTGCAAATGTAAGCCATATTAGAAATGGCCTGAGTGTAGGTGGTTGCCTCAGGCATGTATTTGGGTCTGTGTATCCATGTTGGTGCACATGTATACGCATGTGCATATCACCTTCATTTCTCAGAGGATGCAGTCTAAACTGTTGAGCATCCCTGGTGGAGACACATCCTGGCTACTAAAGTGAGCTTACGATCCACCCCTCCAGTCCCTCATGGTGATTTCTGTCTGGATCCAGCACATTCTTTGACTTGCCCTTTGAGGCCCTGGAATAGGAAATGCTCAGGTATACTTGCCGATACAGCAGGAGAGTTTCAGATGCCATTCTTGCTGAAGCACCCGATGAGGTTCTGCAAGGAGAATCTATACTGCATGGAAAAGGTATAAAATAAATTGAGGATGAGCTTTTACTGCTTCTCCAAACTGTCTTTCATCCTCGCAGGTGATGCACGCTTCCCTTGGGCAGCCTTTTTTTATGGTCTTATGAAACTTCTCTGAACAATAATGACTCACCCGTATATTTTCACATCTGTGTTCTGCGTTATAAAACATGTCAGTTCAAATTTTAGTAATGCTTTTAATGATTATAGAAGCCTCAACTGCCTATCCAAACCTCAAGGGGCATGTATATTATGATTCCCAACAACATCTATTGCCTTTTTGATTTGATTTGTTGAGCTGAGTTAGTATATACTAATTTTTAATATGCTCATCAGATCTTTCAGAGCATCAAGCTCTTAGATACTGAAATCCTATCCACAATTATTAGTAAGGGTTTGGTTGTGAGGTGTAGAATTGTTCTCTTGGAACTCCCAAAGAAATGGCAGGGCAGCATCTTCTGGGTTAATTATACTCTCATAAGCACAATTACATAAGTGTTGGCAGCAAATTGCAGCTGGTTAACAGGATTCCAGCTGCTCTCATGTAGTTCAGTATGCATAGATATTTTCAATAGACTATGAACCGTCATATCCACTGTAATTGTTTTTCTGTTTTTGTTATGAAATGACTGTGCTATCACAACAGACTTACCATTAACACAAGAGTGGGTTTTTTTGTCTGTTACTTCTCTTGCCTGACTTCATTGTCTATGTCAATTAGTGAAAGCAAAATCATACACACACAAACACATACACACACACACAGAGTTGTGTGCACACATAGACAGACACAGACACACAGCTTAGAACATGGGCTGCCACTAGTGTGAGAAAAAATGAGAAAATTACACATTTGGGCTGTAGCATTCATTTTATGTATAAAGCAATCCTATTGATGACTGTTGAGGCTGGCAAAGGAAATGTAATGGTTTTATTTATTTGTTGCATTTTAGCCTTTCTTTCCCCAGAGCAGTATGCCTCACCCTCTAGCCCACAATCTCCTCCCAGCAATCCTGTCAGATTGACAGAGTGTGACTGACCCAAAGTCAGCAATGTCCAAGTGGGGATTTCAACTGGAGTCTCCTCGTTCCTAGTCGGACAGTCTAACTGTAAAACCATACTAGCATTTTGAGCTACCAGTAAGTTGCACCAGCTCCCCCCTCCACATTGCCCTCCATGCCCTGCGCCATCGACAGAACTGTTGCACACATACAGACATACAACCGTACGCGCCCATCTCTGGAGAGAATACACATGGGGCAGAAACAGAGCCTGCTGGCATGACACTGCAATCTGCATTACATGTATAGTTTTATTCCTTATGGAGTGAAGTCTTTTATACCCTCCTGTTCAAAAAAGGTTCAGGATTGTTACCAAAGCAGGAGACCTAAAGAAGAAAAGAAAAGAAAAAGAGTGTGGTATCCAGGTGTGTCCTTCTGCCATTTAGTCCCCTGTGTGTGTCCAATGCCTGCCCCAGTATATAGAGGGTTGCTGGGGATGAAGGTACAGAGAAACACATATAAATTTGTATTTAGCCATGCATCCATCCATCCAGTTAACTATTTATCCATCTACCCTATTTCCCTGAAAATAAGACCTAGTATGATTTTTCAGGATGCTCATAATATAAGCTCTACCCCCCAAAATAAGCCCTAGTTGAGTGAAAGCCCGCCCTCCACCATTGTGCAGCAAACAGAAGACGGCAGGACTGTATTTAAATAAATGTAGACTGGTACATGGGGGGGGGGGGAGACATCCCCTGAAAATAAGCCCTAATGCATTTTTGGAGCAAAAATTAATATAAGACCTTGTCTTATTTTCAGAAAAACAGGGTAGCTTAAAAACAGAATAAAGAGACCATGAAACACTGATGTGTCATCATGTAAAGGAAGAAACACAGGGGCAAGAAACCAGAAACCAACAAAACCACATGAAAAGCAGGAAAAAAAAACCATCACTAGGACATGGGTCTCAGAACAGGGAATTCCAAAGTCCAAGTGCAGTCATTGAATAGGCCCAGTCTCTTGTTGACCTTGCGGTGGCTCACCTCACATTTGAAAACCAAATGTGTATAGAACAGCCTACACTGTTCTATCCAAGAAAATATATCCACTCTCTCACTATGTGTATTTACTATGTATATACATATATTCTTGGAACCCACTACAAAGGGCTATATCTTATTCATATGTGTGTGAATTTGTATGTGATTTGCTGAAATGTCTGCATGAGGAGGGCCTTTAGTTGGGTCTTTGTTACGCTGCTTTAATAATCTTCAGGCCTTCAAACTGTTCCCTGACATGTTTATTATTTCTATGAGTTTTATCCAGTTCTTTCTTTTACTTTCTGAGACCAAAGAAATTAATCACTGGCCAACTAAAAACTAGTTTCTTCACTCAAATTTTTTTTCAAATGGTGAAGAATAATTATTCATTTGGATGACTATTTCTGATGTTAGTCCTTGGAAGTAGTTGGCTTTTCATTCTTGGGGTATCAACAACTGGGACGATCTTTTCACAGCCTTGACAAACTGGTCATAGGTCTCTGGGATTGGATAGATGTTTGATTTATTTTGTCCAGTTTTGTACTGAACCCCTTCCAATTGACTTTTTAGAAATTGTATCTCCTGCAGATTGGTACCATTGATAATTGGTACTATTGAGCTGTGTATTCAGAATTGGGATACAGACTGACTTCATGCACTGCTGAACTATAAACTCACTAATGAATATCAAATCTTGGTTAATGCCACATTGCCATCTTCTGCTATGGGAGGTTTGCTATCAAGAATAAAGGCTAGTTGGATGGTTTCTGCCCATTTCAGCACCACCTCCATTGTTATCATGAAGTACATATCCACCAGA